AGCTTATACTTGGTGCTTTTTTTACCTTTTTTTAAAAAGGTAAGTTGTTTATCAATCACGAGACATCACGAGACACGTTATCACGAGACACGTTATTATTAAATAAATCGGTACAATAATATTAGGTTCACTCTATTTACCGGCGCTCGTATAAGTCGGTAACGTCAGTCACGTCAGCCGCGCTTGCGAGCGCCACGTGCGGCAGAAATATGAAATGGAATTTTGGTGGTTGACGACGACGACCACGTTTCTTAATCTTGATGACGCGAAATTTCACAACCGCGGACTTTGCATTGCAATATCTCCACTCATGGGGCACGTAGGAGAAAAGTAAAAACACTTTTATTATGCAAATCGTACCCAAGCTATCGATTAAGCGCAGTCTCAAGTTCATCGGATCACCCGTTGTTGAGATCCGGAATTCTGAGGGCCCGTCAACTCGCGTACTCGCGTAAACTACACGGTCGGTGTCGCGCGCGTGTTTTAGCTTGTCGCTTAATTGTTGTCGCTTATACTTGGCGCGAGACACCGTGTCTCGTGATGTTGTAAAAGTTAAAATATTTGTTATTAAAGATGAAAACAATCAGAATGTCCAAGTTTAAATACGCATACAGACATTGATACTTTTAATTAAAAGTTTCCATCTTGTATACTTTATACCTGGGGATATGCTTTTCATTTATCTTTGTTATTCACCGAATGTAAAACAAGGATAAATGATGCTTCATGCGTGAATCGAAAAGCATCCTTGTACTTGTTATTTTCATGTAACATTATATTTCCGCAGAATCACTCACAATTATGTGGTGGACCAAGGACCAAGCAGAGATATCAGAACTGCAGACGAAACAGCATGCTGGCATCTTTGGCCGACCAAGTACCAAGGCCAATGGAGCAAGCCTAAGGAGCGAGAAAGAAGAGACAGCGGAAGGAAAGGAGGACGGAGGAAGAATAGAAGGAGGAGAGGGGAGAGAGGAGGAGAGACAGAGGGAGCTTTCCATCTAGGAGACACAGAGCAACACTGTGTGATACGGCCGAACACTGTGCCTGGCTGCTTGATGGAACGCGTTGTAGTTCAAAATTATGTCGCTAGAGTCTGTTTATGTCATCTCACGAAAGCTAATGAGAAATCAAGGAATTTTTATACGCCGATATAACCTATCACTTGAAAGGCGTTCCCATAAAAGGGTAAACTTAAAAAAAGCTAATGAGAAATACTGAAGTAGTGTGATGGTAAGCTTTAATTGATTTTAATGTGTGCAAAGTATGTAGTATGTATACGTCTTAAATCAAACATAACCATCATTTGTTGGTGCTCATCTACAATAGAATTGAAACCCTAAGCCTGAAGAAATTGACTAATTACAGTCGCGTATTCTACTTATACTTGGCCGTGATTGGTCAATTTCTTAAGGCTTTTGGGCTTAAATCATCTATTGTAGACTGGAACATTGTTTTCATTGGCAATGAGTTACAACTATACGATACTTTACAGATGGATATAAGAATTGTGCCTCAACTGTTAGAAACATAAGTAGCAGTTCTAATACAACCAGTGAAACGGAAGAATTAGACAGTAGTTTGAGTGACACCATTACTTCGTCCAGTAGTGACGAGGAGCATGAAGACTTGTTACTTTTTCCTCTACTGCATTATTTAACAACTGGCCGAAGGAGACATCGAATTATGAATTATATTTCGGAAATTGATTCCTGGACCGAAGAAGAGCTCAAGGAACATTTACGGTTGAACCAGCACACTGCACAAAAACTGATCGGTATAAAATATATTCATCTGTTTGATTTATACATAATGGAAGAAAAATTGTTTGACGACGTTAAACGGCTCAGATGATTTAATTTAACAATTTATTTCGACGTTTTCACCATTCGGAGTATGGTCCTTTTCAAAGAAATATATGAATTAGCTAAAAATTAAAAAAGATGTCATCCGTCTGTGAATATCAGTCAGAGAAAACTGTGTTTGAAGGCACCGTCCATCCGACACAACAGCCACAGTAGGATAGTATGTTTTCTCCAATCGAAATCCAGAGACGGATAACATCTTTTTTAATTTTTAACTAATCCATATATTTTCTTGAAAAAGTCCACAATCCAGATGGTCGAAATGTCGGAATAAATTGTTAAATTAAACCACCTTAGCCAGTTTAACGTCGTCAAACAATTTTTCTTCCTGTTTTTAATCAATTACTGGCAACAATAATATTCTTCTTGGTATTTATACATATTGGTCAACACAATTTACAATATTGTAATCATAATGCGTGCTGTATAAAGTGTAAAAGAAATTTTTTGTTATAGATGAGCTACAGTTATCAAATTTTATTCCGTCGCATTTATTTGAAAAGATACCGATTTCGGCAAAATTGAGCTTTTTGCTTTTTCTGTGGTATATTGCCAATACCGAATCTTTGCGAACTATGGCTGATAGATTTGGAATTTCTATTTCGTCTGTATTTCGGGTTCTCCGACGAGTTATAGCTTGGTTGATGACGAAAGTAAATGAAGTGATTAAATGGCCACAAGAGCAAAACGTAGTAAAGACCATAAAAAGTTTCCATGCTAAGCAAGGAATTTCAAACGTCTTGGGAGCAATTGATGGAACTCATATTCGTATAGAAAAACCTGCAGTGTCCGCACAAGACTATTGTAATCGAAAAAAATTCTTTTCCATTGGTTTACAAATAGTGGTAGATGCAAATATGCGGATTACCAACGTACACTGTGGTGAGCCTGGTTCTCTCCATGATGCACGTATACTGAGAAGATCCGAATTATACCATGCAGCAATGAATGCTGATAATGATGTGTTATTCCCTGGCAATACCTTTTTATTAGGGGACTCCGCATATCAATCTTTGCCATGGCTCGTTCCACCTTTCCGAGATAATGGTCATCTCACACCATAACAGGTGGAATTCAATTTCATACACTCATCTACGCGAATGTCTGTTGAAAGAGCAATTGGGCAATTAAAAGGACGGTTCCGTCGTATTAAATTTTTTACAGAATACCGTGAGATGTCCTTTATCATTAAAACAGTAGTTGCAGCTTGTATTTTACATAACTACTGTATTGATGTGAATGATGTTTACAATTTTTCCGAAGATAATGATGAAGATAATTTTGGGAGTTTAGCAATTGGTAATGGGGAACTAGAAATACCAGATCAGAGAGCAACACAAGATCGCAGAATGCAACTTTTTAACGAACTGTTCCATGAGCAATGATTTACTGCGAATTGTGCATAATTCTCCGAACAGTTTTAAATAATATTATTTCTATAAAATACGATTGGTTGATAATAATTGTATGTTATATATGTATATCAAATTATCTGTATTGAATATCATTTATATTCATATAAATATAAATATCATTTATTTATCTATTAAATCTTTGACTTATAATCTATTTGCACTTTTGACATTATTACGTAATATTATTACGTGAACGTCAATAAAAACAAAATAATATCTTCTAATCTCTGGCTTAAATTAATATTATTTTTGGCATTTATGTAACTCACTAAAAAAATATAATACTGAAGACTTAGCGCATTATAACTTACAAAACAAAATAATACTGAAATGAAAGACTTAGCGTATTAAAACTTACAAAACAAAATAATACTGAAATGAAAGACTTAGCGCATTAAAACTTATTTTAAAAAAATAACACTTAAATGAAGACTTAGCACTGCTCTAATCAAACTCGGACTTTAATCAGAATCAAATGTTTCATGAAGATTTTGATTCTTTTTGTTGAGTCCCGATGTGGACGTTCGGGATGGTGTCTCGAACGAGGAAGGAAAGGACGTAAGGCCTAGGACGATGACAGATTGCGAGCCTCGTAATGTTCACGTAAGCGGTCTTTATTCGGATACACCGATGTGAGCTCTGTGCAAGACCGGTAAGAACTAACTGATTGGACGCTTCCCCTCTCTCTGTATGTCGCTGTCGCTGGCAGTGGCGGCGGCGTCGGGTGACGGTGCCCAACATCTTCCCTCTCAGGAAGTTACCCTTGGGAGTAGTTTTTGGCGGCCGGGTCTAATATCAGCCTCTTCGGGGCCATACGGTTACGGGTCGGTCTGACCGGGGTCGTTCGGGCTGCCGGTGATTCCAGGTTCCGGTTGGCTGGCGTTTGAGCAGTGGGGGATGATAGGAGCTGTGAATCAGGCTCCGAGATAGGTTGAGGTTCTTGCAGGGTGGTCGGTGGAGCAGGAGGTTGTAGAAATATCCAGTCATCTCCCGGATCTTGAGATGGAGTTGATGGAGTGGAGCCTCCTCTCCAGATATGGTTAATATGCCGGTCGATGATTTTCCCATCATCGAGGCGTACCGAGTAACGAGTTTTTGATAGGACCTTGTGTATGACGCCCTTTTCGCGCTTGTCCTTGCGGGTTAGGACCAATACTCGATCTCCCACTGATAGATATCGTGGCTTGGCGCCATGGTGTTTCGAGAATTGTTTTACCATGGTTTGTTGTTTCGTCGCTTGTGGACTCGTTTCCGTATGCTTGGTATCATCCGGCGTTGGGAGCCATTTTGTGAACGGGGAGTTCATGCGACGTCCAAACAGGAGTTCTGCTGGGGATTTCCCTCTCGGGGCCGAGCTGCAGGGAGTGTAGCGATAGCTGTAGAGAAAGTCAAGCAGTTGTTTCTTCC